CTACAAGAATCAAAAAGACTATTCAAACTTAAATATTAAGAAAACTATTCATGAGCTAAACTAAAATATAGGGAATGAAAACAACAAAAGTGATTGACTATGTATGTCATCAAACCTCGATAGAAAAGATGGGTGAGATTTGGTTTTTGTGTTTTTGTTTCCGTGATATATGGCGAAGATCCTCACAATAACAAAGATGAATGCTGCAAAACGAATAAAGAAAAATATATCAAGATCGATGAGATGAAAAAGCAATAAACGAAAAAGAGAACACATGTAAACATTTACGTGGTTTATGGTCTCGTAGTCTTCGTTTATGTGATTCTCTGTTTTAGAACGTAATTGTCTTGAAGATGCCTTTTAGCTTTCTTGTGTTTTATATATAGACTAGTATTATAGCACCGAGTTTTAAGTATTCATACAATTGCATTCTTTTAAAAATAAAATAAACTAAATCAATAATTAGTGGTATAACGTTTTCATACGAATAATTCAACAATTTTTATTGTTAATGCGCAAATAAAATATAAAGATTAATTTAAAAAAAAAACTGTGATGGCCTTGCAATTGAACTTGATTTTTCTTGCTTCGTTCTTTCTCTACTATTGTACTTCATTTTTCTTTCGCTTTATTTTTGTAAAAAGAAATTGTTTTGCTGATAGGAACAATTTTACTGGTCAAGTGACTTGAATTTTAGTATATTAAAGATTAGTTAATTAACTTTTATCACTTTTTTGATGTTATATATACACATATTTAAATGTACATGCAAACATACAACATACTTAAATTATTTCATTATTGCCGTCAATATACTTTTTTAATTTTGTGATTTTAGTTGTAAATTTTATTATCTTAAAACGTGAAAACATAAGTTAAAACAAAAATTAAAGACAACAATCTTTAGAAAATAAACATTCGAAACTAAATATAGTGGAGGAAGTTGTTTTCAAAATATTTAAAATAAATTTTAATTTTTAAGAAAATGAAACGATAATCGTGGAGGATTTTTTAAAAGAATTATAACTTAATTAATTGATGAAACTAAGATCTTGTTTTTAGATTTTTTTTTATTCAATTTATTTTCTTTGATTTTCTTTGATTAAATTATTTTAAAACAAAGCATTAATTACTTTTATCTTTCTATTGTACCATTTTTTTCTTATCAAAGAATTTTATTATATCCTTGGCTTTTATAAAATATTTATATACATATACTAACTTAATTTGTTAATTAATTTTTGTCACTTTTTGATG